CTAATGTCACATCAAAACTGTCAGATGACTTCTTATAGGAGTTGTCGCTCTTAGATGACAAATTTTACAATTTTTTTCTTCATTTTTGCCTATTATCTTGAAAATTATAATAGACAGAGAGAAACTTTTTTTATAGCAAAAATTACCAGCAAGACAAGATCTACAAAGAGTCTGAGGTCAAATGGTCGAAATCATTACTTGACTCGTTACTAGAGTTTTTGGCTTTTTAATGATTTTTACCAACAAATGTCAATTTTCATCTCTGTCATCCATATCATTCCAAATACAACTATTGTTAAAATTTAATTGTGATGTCACAAACGGCACCCAGTTTTGTATTAGCTCACCTGGCCCAAAGAACCAGTGTGAGTTTTTGCAATCACTTGGCACTTGTAGTCGTCATCCTTTAACTTTTACAAGGATCATTTCCTATAAAACTTCTGGGCCAAATTTAACCAAACTTGGCCACAATCATCAATGGGGTATCTAGTTTAAACATGATGATGAGGAATTTTACCAAATTTTTTTCATTTTTGCCTATTATCTTGATAATAATATAAATGAAATAAAAAGAAAAACAGAAACTTTAAATAGCAAAAATGACGAGCAAGACTAGATCTACAATTAAGTCAACATTATCAAAATTGTCAGTCGACACCTTACTGAAGTTTTTGACCTTTAATGAGATTTTCCCAATGTTTTGCATAATTATGCTTTTATCTTGAAAACTATAAAAGATCGATAGAAACTTTAAAAAACAAAAGTGATCAGCAAGACAAGATCTACGAACAAGTCAAGTTTTGCCGAAATAGTAAGTACACTCTTTATAGGAGTGATTGCCCTTAAAGGAGGACTTTTTCCCCTCTTTTGTGTTTTTGGTTAAAACTAATGAAGATAGACAGAAACTGTAAACAGAAAATGGTCAGCAATGCAATTTAAACAAGAAAGAGATGTTTGTCATGAATCTATTCAAGTCTACAATATTGGAGAGTGCCCATTGTTGAAGATGCACATAGACATTGATGTGAAATGGTGAACTGGTGTAAATTATAGCGAATAGGTATTTTAAGTTTTAGAAGGTTGATCCATACCAGATTGTAAAACATTTTGAAAGTCAACGCAAATAAACAATAGATATAGGAAGATGTGGTATGAGTGCCAATGAGACAACTTTCCATCCAAGTAACAATTTATAAAAGTAAACCATTATAGGTCAAGGTACGGCCTTCAACACGGAGCATTGGCTCACACCGAACAGCAAGCTATAAAGGCCCCATAAATTACTAGTGGAAAACCATTCAAACGGGAAAACCAGTGGTCTAATCTATATAAAAACGAGAAACGAGAAACACTTATGAACTACATAAACAGACGACAACTACTGTACTTTTTAAGGTCCTTGGTGATTTTACCCTATTTCATCATGCCCAGTCACTTAACTTCTAATGCAGAAAAAACTTTATCTAGCGAAGATTTTTTAAAATTCAATTTATGTGAAGAAGTTCTTGTCTGCAGTGGTTGCAGACTGTCAACATTTATTCAGACTAATACGAGCGAGCGTTCAAAAACAAGTTAAATGATGGCTTTGACCTTTTGTCAAATGAAAACATTAGAAAATCAACATTCTAATCACTTCTTTAAAAAATATTGGGACCACACATTATTATCAGGATAATCCCACCAAGATAATGTCCATGGAATAAAATGGACCCATTTGCATATCAATTTGTGTATGTTTTATATTCAGTCAAAAACATTGATGTCATGGTTAATTTTTGTGGAAAGCTTAAGGAAATGCTATAAATTTTCTAAATTTATTTACCATAGAATCAATATGCCCTAGCTAATGCTTGCTTAAAAACTTTACATTTTAACATTTAAGGGTATCCTAAATACACAAAAGGAAGAATTTTCCTGCAACTAAGATATATTTTGTGGAACTATTGAGTTTTTATCACTTTCATACCATATAGATTAGTTTTATTAGTGACATGTATATTTCATAATGAAACAAATTAAATTTTAATAAATGCAGAATGTCTATGGGCCACAGATGCCCCCGCTTGTAAATATGCATGAGTCAACTTCCACATACAGATGCAGGATTCATGTAGTTAAGACTGTTTTGTGATAATAAGCATTGTGTATAAGTTTCATAACATTTGGTAACTAAAGTTAGAGAATGGAAACGACAGATTCAGCAATTTTTATGTTTATAAAGGGGTATAACTCATGAACGGGAAAAGTGACGCCACCCAATTTCGAACTTGTGTGTTTTGTGGTAATAAGCATTGTGTATAAGTTTTATAACATTTGGTTGAGGCAAACTAAAGTTAAAGAACAGAAACGAAAAATCCAGCAATTTTTATGTTTATAAAGGGGCATAACTCATGAACGGTAAAAGTGACGCCACCCAATTTCGCACTTGATCTGTGTTTTGTGGTAATAAGCATTGTGTTTAAATTTTGTAACATTTGGTTGAGGCAAACTTAAGTTAGAGAACGGAAACCTATTTTGGGGACGTTCGGGACAGATGGGACAAGAGTAACACTTAATGCCCCCTCCACTACGACGGGGGCAGAATACCTGAAAATGTAAATCACTTGCATAAATGACAGAAAAAAAGAATATTCCAGACTGAGTGTCAGCTGGGACCTGCTGTATATTAATTTTATTCAATGATGCATACCTGCTACATAAAAGCATCAATACTTCGAGTCACAAAAAGATAACAAAAAACACCTGCTTTATTGAAATTAATTTTGGAGGGTGAAGGTCTGAAAGAATTTGTATTACATGTATTAGGAACGCAGAAAGCTCGTCATAGGGAAAGTGATCTGGGGGCGGTGGCCACGGCAGCGTGCGCCGTCAACTAACCACTTAAACGCTTAATATTTCAGAATGTAGAAGACCTGGATGCTTCATACCTTGTATATAGATACCTTATGTTATGAAGTTTCCGTCTGTCATATTTCCTTTGTCCTTGACCTCATTTTCATGGTTCAGTGACTACTTGAAAAAAAAAGTTATGATTTTTTGTAATGTGAATTTCTCTCTTATTATGAGTAATAGGATAACTATATTTGGTATGTGCTTACCTTGCACAGTCCTCATGCCTGTCAGACAGTTTTCACTTGACCTCGACCTCATTTCATGGATCAGTGAACAAGGTTTATTTTTCATGGTCAAGTCCATATCTCAGATACTATAAGCAATAGGTCTACTATACTTGGTGTATGGAATGATTACAGGTGTACATGTCCAACTGGCAGGTGTTATCTCACCTTGACCTCATTTTCATGGTTCAGTGGTTAAAGTTAAGATTTTGTATTTTGGTCTGTTTTTTCTTAAACTATAAGCAATAGGTCAACTATGATTGGTGTATGGAATGATTGTAATTTTTATATGTCTGCTGGCAGGTATCATCTGACTTTTACCTCATTTTCATGGTTCATTGGTCAATGATGAGTTTTCAAGGTTAATTTTGTTTCTTAGATACTATAGTTGATACGTCAACTATATTTGATCCATGGAATGATTTTAAAGTGTACATGTCTCTCTGGCAGGGTTCATCTGGCCTTGACCTCATATCCATTGGTCAATTTAAAGTTTTCATGATTTGGTCTCTTTCTTGTATACTATAAGCAATAGGTTAACTATATGCAATGTATGGAATGATTTAAAGGTGTACATGTATTTCTGGCTTAGTTTATCTAACCTTGACCTCATTTTCTTGGATCATGATAAATTAATGTGATACTTGTAATAAAACTTTATATTTAGGGCTATCAACATAAAATCAATGATAGTAAAGCAGGCGAGACATTTCAGCGTGTGCACTCTTGTTTTGTAAATGCCTGGTAATTCTCTGCTATATTATGGGGGTGGGGGTAAAAAAATAAAACAAAACGAGGTAAATATCAAATATTATTTTCAAGGAAGCAAAGGAAAGCCTGATGGTTGTTCAAGAAGTTTTTATTTCGTATTGACAAGTCAAAGTGTTTGGAGTTAGTTCAAATAACAAATTCTGAAAGTATCTCTTGTGAATATGTAGCAATAAATAAATGATTATTTGATGTTTAGAAGAGGATAACTAAAATGCCCAAATTTTATAGCATAAATAACATTTCCAGAAGGATAGAAAAGGAAAAGTTGATATTTTTTATTTAGACTTTTAGAAAGTCCTCAGATGGTTTCTTTCTTATTTTTTCCCCTTACAAATCTGGTGCTATTTATGTTGAAATATGGATAAGAACTGCTATTTACTCTTTTTAACCGGATTTCCAAAGGAAAATATTAGTTATTAATTTGGTGATGTACGACGGGCGGGCGGGTGCCAAACAGTGTCTGTGCAATAACTTGAAAATGCTTTGACGAAATCTTTTCAAATTAAGGTATGTTGTTTCCTGTGACAAAAATAAATGAAGGTCAAGTTCGATTTTCACAATTTTAGCTTTTATCGTTGTTGAGTTGTAGACCTTTAAGTAGCGAACGAGACATTTTCACTAAAAATCCTTTTTTTCTTGATGAATAGCTTTAAACTTTTCTAAAGTTTTATGCAAATTAAATATTTTACATTAATAATCTTCAAAAAGTTGTAATATTGACTAATCGATTTGTATTCAATGATTGCACACTGACTACTTAAAAGCATCAATACTTCGATTCACATGATTCACAAAAAGACAACAAAAAACATCTGCTTTCAATGAAATTAATTTTGGAGGGTGAAGGTAGCATGCAAATTTTTATACTGTCATAGAGACACAAAAATCCAATTTAACATAAATGGAAATTTCAATGGCAATAACATTAGAAGATACTGTATCTGCATAATAATATATTACCTTTTGTCAAGTGAGAGGATAACTTGATCTAAATTTTCATACTATAATAACAATCAAATTTATTTCAGATGATTATTTGTATAGAAGGTAAATAAATTATTTTTTGTCATTATTGAAAAAATTGATAATTATACATCTTATATATAATTATAGAAAGAAATAAAAGAAGACATTTCAAGTTTATGTACCAAACTGGTCAGATATATAAAGTTTATATTTGAACCTATGTGGACTTCAAAACAAGACACACAAGATCTACGAAGTACAATATTTGATGGTTAGTTATTCTACTTTTCTACATAATACAAATCAAATAGACCAATTCCTGCATAATGTTTTTAAACTTGGCAGTCCGAATTAAAAAATTGTGGTTATATAAATTTGTTTTAATATATTGACATAATCATGATAATGGGTAAATGATTGTAAAAGTTTAGTTTACAGACAAGATCTTTTGAGCCATTACTTTGATCTGTACAAATCATTAATGGAATTCAGGGTAGGATAACAAGTCTTCCTGAGGATTGTAACTTGTGAGCTAGCACTTTTAAAAATTTTGGTTGGCATGTAGGTCTTGTAAAAAACAGGGTTATTATTTTTATCAGATTAAGATTTTTATGCCCCCGCCATAGCGGAGGGGGCATTAAGTTTTACCCTTGTCCATCTGTACGTCTGTACGTACGTCCCAAAATTGGTTTCCGTTCTCTAACTTTAGTTTGCCTCATCCAAATGTTATGAAACTTATACACAATGCTTATTACCACAAAACACAGATCAAGTTTGAATTTTGGTGGCATCACTTTAACCGTTCTAGAGTTATGCCCCTTTACAAAATGAATGCCCCTTTACAAAATGAAAAATTGCTAAATTTTTTGTTTCCGTTCTCTAACTTCAGTTTGCCTCAACCAAATGTTATGAAACTTATTCACAATGCTTATTACCACAAAACACAGATCAAGTTTGAATTTTGGTGGCTTCACTTTTACGGTTCTAGAGTTATGCCCCTTTATAAATGGAAAAATTGCTGAATTTTTTGTTTCTGAACTTATACACAATGCTTGCCTTAACCAAATGTTATGAAACGTATACACAATGCTTCTTACCACAAAACTCAGATCAAGTACAAATTTGGGAAGCGTCACTTTTACAGTTCTTGAGTTATATCCCTTTATAACATTATATGCAAGTGGGGGCATCATCTGTGTCCCATGGACACATTCCCCATTTATTTTTTTTTAATATGCATTTAATTTGCCTCTTAAATTAAAACAATCATCCATTATCATCATCATTTCTTACACAAAGGCAGGTATTGCCAATACACAGAAACGATTTTCCCACAATCAATCATTTTTCCTTCTGCCAGTCAGTCATTTCTTACCATCTAGCAGACATTTACTTAAGGTTTGTAGGTCTTTGGAATATGTGGACTATATTTAATTTAAAGCAGCAACATGGACTTTAAACCTGGTTAGATATTACCCGTTCTATAATACAATCGAAAAGTCATTCATTTAATCAAATTCTGTGGAACTTAATGAAATTTTTGTACAAGAATATATATTTGGGCAAAAAAAATTATTATTCTGTTTCCTGCCTTCCTATCTACTATAAATTTCATGCCTACCCGAATGCATTTTATTGACATTTACATTGTACTATTTAAAGTCGAGAAAGTTTTGGTTAACCACAGATAAAAGTCCAGAGCATTTCCTTATAGTGTATTTGAAATATTTAGAAGTTAAAATTATTTACCTATATGCCTACCCTGTTTTTTTCTGCCAGAAGGCATGAAACCAGTATATATATATATATATATTTTTGTCGTATCAATTTGAAATTATCAAAAAAGCAAGTTCTGAAAAAGAACATAATTGAGGGCAAGATTTTATATTTTTTTAATTTTTGATAGATGTAGATGAAGTTGAGCAAAAACTAACAGCTTTACGTAAGACTTTTGGTATAAAGTTAGATTTTGGATCAGAAACAAGGACTGGAAGGTCATCACCAACAGCAGGTAAATAATAAATCTGTAGAACCAAGATATTAATCAGGTTAAAGTTTTTGGTTAAGATAGTTTACCATAAGGTCTGGTCACACCAACTTGAAACTAAGTTCTCATGTTCATTAGAATTTGAATTTTTCAAATTGTATTTCAAATTGCAATTTTGGGAACATAGGAATGTGAAAGTTTGAAATGAGAACACTTTCAGGTTAAGATTTTGTTTCTTCTAAGACGAAAGTCTTAGACTGAAAGACATAGGATGCTAATTGGGTAGCAACGATTTCAGATGGTAGAAGACTTGGCTGCTACATACTTTGTATACAGATGCCTTATGTAAAGAAGAAGAGAGGCAACAGATACCAAAGGGACATTCAAACTCATATGTCAAAATAAACTGACAATGCCATGGCAAAAATAGAAAAGAACCAAAAGACAAACAACAGTATACAAAACACAACATAGAAAACTAAAGACTGAGCACCACGAACCCCACCACAAACTGGGGGGTGATCTTAGTGGAAGTCTTATTTGGGGAAAGGAGGATTAAGAAGTTTCAGTCTGTCATATGAAATAAAATAAAATTGAAATATGATATAATCATGGTCTTATTTCTTTAATAGGTAGGCATAAAACATGTTTCAGTCCAGAGGATCTCCAGAAAGCTATTAAACAATCTTTAGCTGACTACTCTAAGCAGCATGCTGTCGAAGAAAGATTGAAGGAGTACTGTAACTTCCATGGTATGGAATTCCTTGGTAGGACACCAGGCAATGGTAATTGTTTCTTTGAAGCTATTTCTGCACAGCTAGAAAGGCTTCAGTTACCAAGAAAATCTCCAGAACTTCTGAGACAAGAAGTAACAACCTACTTAAAGGAAAAGCCTACTTACAAAGTGAGTTATCTATCCTCCTAATCTTATCCAGTTGTTGTGGTCTTTGTTGAGTTATTTCTCAAGTTATCATTTCTAGTCATAATGAGCTTATGATGCCAGTTTTAAATTGTAATAGTAAGTAGTGACTTTTTATCTTTGCATGTGTATGGAAGGTCATGCTCCTTGTTGAAGGCCTCATTATGACTTTGAGATGATGAACAGTAATAAAAGCACTCTTCCTTTGCTTTTTGCTTTTTGCTGTGTATGTACTGATTTTTTGTCATGGATGGATTCCCCATGTCCTTTGTTTTTAGTTCACCTGGCCTGAAAGGCCAAGTGAGCTTTTCTCATCACTTGGCCTCGGTCGTCCTTCGTCGTCTGTTAACTTTTACAAAAATCTTCTCCTCTGAAACTACTGGGCCAAATTTAACCAAACTTGGCCACAATCATCATTGGGGTATCTAGTTTTAAAAATGTGTCCAACGACCCTGCCTGCCAACCAACATGGCCGCCTTGCCTAAAAATAGAACATAGACGTTGTTGGGTTGCTGCCCCTGAATTGGTAATTTTAAGGAAATTTTGCAGTTTTTGTTGAATCTGCGACTTTTGTCGCAGAAAGCTCGACAAAGGGATAGTGATCCCACGGCCATGGAGGTGTTAACTAATTTCTTATTTAATGCGACTGTCATACAAGTGAGAGGTTTAGCTAGCCATAAAACCAGGTTCAATCCACCATTTTCTACATAAGAAAATGCCTGTACCAAGTCAGGAATATGACAGTTGTTATCCATTCCTTTGATGTGTTTAAGCCTTTGATTTTGCCATTTGATTAGGGACTTTCCGTTTTGAATTTTCCTCGGAGTTCAGTATTTTTGTGATTTTACTTTTTTCTTAAAGCTTGATATTTCAGAAGATAGAAGACCTGGATGCTTCATACTTTGTATATAGATGCCTTATGATATGAAGTTTCGGTCTGTCATATGTCCTTTGTCCTTGACCTCATTTTCATGGTTCAGTGACTACTTGAAAAAAAGTTCAGATTTTTTGTAATGTTAACTTCTCTCTTATTATGTGTAATAGGATAACTATATTTGGTATGTGCATACTTTGCAAGGTTCTCATGTCTGTCAGACAGTTTTCACTTGACCTCGACCTCATTTCATAGATCAGAGAACAAGGTTAAGTTTTCGTGGTCAAGTCCATATCTCAGATACTATAAGCAATAGGTCTACTATATTTGGTGTATGTAATGATTGTAAGGTGGACATGTCCAAATGGCAGGTGTCATCTGACCTTGACCTCATTTTCATGGTTCAGTGGTAATAGTTTAGTTTTTGTGTTTTGGTCTGTTTTTCTAATACTGTATGCAATAGGTCAACTATGTTTGGTGTATGGAAATATTTTTAATACTGTATGCAGTAGGTCAACTATATTTGATGCATGGAATGATTTTAAGGTGTACTTGTCTGTCTGGCAAGGTTAATCTGACCTTGACTTCATTTTCATGGTTCATTGGTCAATATAGAATTTCCATGGTTTGGTCTGTTTCTTTTATATTATAAGCAAAAGGTCATCTATATTCTGTGTATGGAATGATTGTATTAAAGGTGTACATGTATTTCCGCCTTGGTTTGTTTGACCTTGACCTCATTTTCTTGGATCATAAATGTTAATGTGATACTTGTAGTAAAACTAAATATATGTAGGACTATCAACATGAAATCAATGGTTAGTAAAGAAGGCGAGACATTTCAGTGTGTGCACTCTTGTTGGTTATTATCTTGAATATTATTATAGATAGAGATAAACTGTAAACAGCAATAATGGTCAGCTAAGAAAGATTTACATATAAGTCACCATGAACAAAATTGTCAATTGACCCCTTAAGGAGTTATTGCCCTTTAAAGTCAATTTTTAACAATTTTTCGTAAATTTTTGTAATCTTATACAAAAATTTTCTCCTCTGAAACTACTGAGACAAATTTAACCAAACTTGGCCACAATCATCATTAGGGTATCTTGTTTAAAAAATGTGTTCAATGACCCGCCTGCCAACCAACATGGCTGACATGGCTAAAAATAGAACATAGGGTTAAAATGCAGTTTTTGGCTTATAACTCTGAAACTAAAGCAAAAGTATAATGGTTGCCTTATTTCATGCATCAATTGTAAACAAAAATATCAGGTGAGCGACACAGGCTCCTTGGAGCCTCCAGTTCTATTATTCAATAAAATATTTGACAAGGATGAATTCATTATACACTTTGTTAAAGGTTTTTATGAACATATTATATATGATTTAGTTAATAAAAAATGATCAAACATTTTTTTTAAGCTTTCTCGATGAGGTAAAAGCTATATTGATTTTTGTTCCCTGCCTCTCGTGCAGCAGGGGTTAAAGTATTAGTCCATCCATCTTTATGAAACTAAATAATACTTAGAGACTGTTTAACATAAAGCTTGTATATTGTAGGATAATTTGTCATCACTATTTTTATACGACCGCAAAAAAATTTTGTGGTCGTATATTGGTATGACGTTGGCGTCGTCGTCGTCGTCCAGCGTCGTCGTCCGAAGACACATTGGTTTTCGCACTCTAACTTTAGTTTAAGCGAATGGATCTTTTTGAAATTTGACCATAAGGTTAAATACCACAAAAGGAAGGTTGGGATTGATTTTGGGGGTTATGGTACCAACAGTTAAAGAATAAGGGGCCAAAAAGGACCCAAAAATAAGCATTTTCTAGTTTCAAGACAATAACTGTGGAACGGTGTATGGATCTCTCTGAAATTATACTACAAGTTTCCATACCACAAAGGGATGGTTAGGATTTGCTTTGGGGGGTTATGGCTCAAACCGTTTAGGAATTAGGGGCAAAAAAGGGGGAAAAACAAGGTTGTCCTGGTTAATGGACAAATACTTTAGTACAAAACATAATTTAAAGCAGTGTAAGGGAGATAAATCAAATACATCATTGAAATTATCTCCCTTACACTGCTTTTAAATATGGTTAATGAACAATAAAGATAATTTAAAACAGTGTAAGGGAGGTAATCCAAATACAACGTTTTGGTAACTTCCCTTACACTGCTTTTAAATTATGTGTAAAGAAATGCATATTTATAAAGGAAGACCAGTAAAAATATCTGCAAATGTTGCATCTTTTTTTTTTACAAAAAAATCCGTATGAAGGTCCAAAGGGTCCAAAATTAAACTTTGTTTGATTTTAGCAAAAATTGAATATATGAGGTTCTTTGATATGCTGAATCTAAACATGTATTTAGATTTTTGATTTTTGGCCCAGTTTTCAAGTTGGTCCAAATTGGGGTCCAAAATTAAACTTTGTTTGATTTCAACAAAAATTGAATATATGGGGTTCTTTGATATGCTGAATCTAACCATGTATTTAGATTTTTTATTTGTGGACCCCGTTATCAAATTGGTTCATATTGAGGTCAAAAGGGTCCAAAATTAAACTTTGTTTGATTTCATCTAAAATTGAATTATTGGGGTTCTTTGATATTCCAAATCTAACCGTGTATTTAGATTTTTAATTTTGGGTCCTGTTTTTTAAATTGGTCTACATTAAGGTCCAAAGGGTCCAAAATTAAACTTAGTTTGATTTTAACAAAAATTGAATTCTTGGGGTTCTTTGATATGCTGAATCTAAACATGTGTTTAGATTTTTGATTATGGGCCCAGTTTTCAAGTTGGTCCAAGATAGGGTCCAGTATTTAAACTTTGTTTGATTTCAACAAAAATTGAATATATGGGGTTCTTTGATATGCTGAATCTAAACATGTATTTAGATTTTTGATTATGGGCCCAGTTGTCAAGTTGGTCCAAATTGGGGTCCAAAATTAAACTTTGTTTGATTTCAACAAAAATTGAATATATGAGGTTCATTGATATGCTGAATCTAACCATGTATTTAGATTTTTTATGTGTAGGCCCCGCTTTCAAATTGGTTCATATTGAGGTCAAAAGGGTCCAAAATTAAACTTTGTTTGATTTCATCTAAAATTGAATTATTGGGGTTCTTTGATATTCCAAATCTAACCGTGTATTTAGATTTTTAATTTTGGGTCCTGTTTTTTAAATTGGTCTACATTAAGGTCCAAAGGGTCCAAAATTAAACTTAGTTTGATTTTAACAAAAATTGAATTCTTGGGGTTCTTTGATATGCTGAATCTAAACATGTGTTTAGATTTTTGATTATGGGCCCAGTTTTCAAGTTGGTCCAAGATAGGGTCCAGTATTTAAACTTTGTTTGATTTCAACAAAAATTGAATATATGGGGTTCTTTGATATGCTGAATCTAAACATGTATTTAGATTTTTGATTATGGGCCCAGTTGTCAAGTTGGTCCAAATTGGGGTCCAAAATTAAACTTTGTTTGATTTCAACAAAAATTGAATATATGAGGTTCATTGATATGCTGAATCTAACCATGTATTTAGATTTTTTATGTGTAGGCCCCGCTTTCAAATTGGTTCATATTGAGGTCAAAAGGGTCCAAAATTAAACTTTGTTTGATTTCATCAGAAATTGAATTATTGGGGTTCTTTGATATGCCAAATCTAACCATGTTTTTAGATTTTTAATTTGGGTCCCGTTTTTTAAATTGGTCTTCATTGAGGTCCAAAGGGTCCAAAATTAAACTTAGTTTGATTTTAACAAAAATTGAATTCTTGGGGTTCTTTGATATGCTGAATCTAAACATGTGTTTAGATTTTTGATTATGGGCCCAGTTTTCAAGTTGGTCCAAGTTGGGGTCCAAAATTAAACTATGTTTGATTTCAACAAAAATTGAATATATGGGGTTCTTTGATATGCTGAATCTAACCATGAATTTAGATTTTTTATTTGTGGGCCCCGCTATCAAATTGGTTCATATTGAGGTCAAAAGGGTCCAAAATTAAACTTTGTTTGATTTCATCAAAAATTGAATTATTGCGGTTCTTTGATATTCCAAATCTAACCTTGTATTTAGATTTTTAATTTTAAGTCCCGTTTTTTTAAATTGGTCTACATTAAGGTCCAAAGGGTCCAAAATTAAACTTAGTTTGATATTAACAAAAATTGAATTCTTGGGGTTCTTTGATATGCTGAATCTAAACATGTGTTTAGATTTTTGATTATGGGCCCAGTTTTCAAGTTTGTCCAAGTTGGGGTCCAAAATTAAACTTTGTTTGATTTTAACAAAAATTGAATATATGGGGTTCTTTGATATGCTGAATCTAACCATGTATTTTGATTTTGGACATTGGACCATAATAGGTAAATTAAAAAAAAATCAAATTCTTAGACCACATTCTTTCTGTGTCAGAAACCTATGCTGTGTCAAATATTTAATAACAATCCAAATTCAGAGCTGTATCAAGCTTGAATGTTGTGTCCATACTTGCCCCAACTGTTCAGGGTTCGACCTCTGCGGTCGTATCAAGCTGCGCCCCAGCGAAGCATTTTATTAAATACTGTAAGTTTGACAGGAGTTGTGGTACTAGGACAATTTTTTTTTTTTACTTTTGTAACATAATGGCACATTGTGAAGGCAACTTCTCTGAGACCATTTTACAGAAAGCTCTCATAAATGGTAGTATTGTTTGCCATCATTTGTAGTTGACTTTCTATATCATCATTTTGATTCAACCATTTTTAAACACTTGAAACATTTTTTGGACAATTTAACCTCAATGACACCTTAATGTGAACTCAACTCTTTCGACAGAAGGCTCTTATACCTGGTAGGATTGTTTGCAAGGATGTATTTAATGAAGTAAGTTCCCTGGATTTTCAAGTGGCCAATGTTATAACTAACTTTTAAAAATATAAATTTAAAAAAACAAAACAAACATGAAGTAAATTCAACATAAATGAAATAATGAAATGAATAAACATAAATGTCACTAAATAAACACATGAAAAGGAACTAAATATAATGCTATGAAATAAACAAAATGAAACTAAATGATTGCACATTCTTCACACCATAAATTCTGCACACTTCTCGGTAAGTTGGATGTTGCATGTAATGTAGAATATAAAGTTGGGTTGTTTTAATTTGGATTTCTTTTAATAATAAAACTGATGGGGCGTATGACATTTGCGCCCATTTTAAAAAGATTCGATCTTTCATTTGCGCCGATTTGATTCTTTCATTTGCACCGATTTTTCACAGGTAAATTACAGGTGAATGTTATTTTTTATTTATCAATATAAACCTCTTCCGTATAGCCAGTTGTTCATATGTTATGAATTGTCATTTATAACATGTATATAACTGTTGTCCCCTGCAAATAGATTGTTGCTGTTTTCATCTTGCTCAGAACTGTTAAAGGAAAATCCTGTCTGTTGGGCTAAGTACATAGTATAAAGACAAATAAAGTGACACTGGTAAATGGCTATCGCAATTTTTCTGGCTACCATTCCTTCCCCTAGATGAAATCGAGGACTGCTTCACGTTTGACGAATGACAGTCCAGAATCGTTTCATTCGCATTACAATAAACAGTTCTATTCGACCCACCCTAAAATATAATTTTATGGGTGTAATCAAGAAAATCCAGGCCGTTACTTATGTCAAAATGAGAACTCTTGAAATGCCCGCCTCTGTACGCAACACATATAGAAGTTATGAAATTACAAGGAAGGAATACATCAGATTTGTGGTGTATAAATACTCGTCAAGAACAGGTTTATAATGATAAATAAGAAATAAGATTCACCTGTAATCTACCTGTACACAATCAGCTAAATGAAAGAAAAAATAGGCGCAAATGAAATGCAGATCAGCGCAAATGCAAAACGCCAAACTGATGGATATAACTAATTTTCACACATTTATGGTTGATTCTAAATTAATGAAGAGAACACTAGATTATATATTTTTATTGCAATAAGAACTTCAGTGAGCCATTATGAACTTTAGACCTCACAATACTGCACGGACTGGTCGATTCCTTTGACATATATTTTCAACAGACTTTTTGCATATTTGCAACAGATATATAATTTCACCGACACCTGGCATTGTAATTTATATCAGCACATATCAAGTTATTACCACATTTTCGCTGACACCATATATCACCGACCAGTTAACAGTTAACGGTGTTAACAACAAAACTGGGCCTAAAAACCCCTGAGTGTTGTTATAATTAGCCTTGGAATATCCATGTCCTGGACTGACAATTATAATACCCAACTGATATTAACAAAGGTGTCCTTTACTCAATGGCCATGTGTCCACTGATTTGAAATATACCAGTGAAATTTCAATAGGTTCCTAACCACATGATACACATGCAAGGTCTGCACTACTATGTAGTCCCGTGTTAGTGAAAATAAGCCCTAACATAAAATATAGTCATATGAAAATAGATAAATATAAATAAATAACTGAAGTTTGTTACAATGTGTAGTATGTTGTTTATTTTATACCCTCATTTTGATTCAACCATTTTTCACAAGTTATTGGACTTTTTTTTACCTGGAAATGACCAAGAATAACAGCAACAAATACTAAAGCTTTAAATAACTTGATAATGTAATCTATGTACCTGTTTTTCAACTCTATACTGTAACACACAATTTCATTCCTTATTTACACAGCTACAGGGTACATTTAGCCATGGTGTAGCAATCTTTTACCAACAGAAAACACTTCAATATAAACTGTATTCATCTTTATTTTATTCATATTGAAAGTATTTTTCTTGAACATTTTATAGGTCAATGGGAAGTTGGTTAACCTTAGAGATTTTGTTGAGTTAGAAGGAGATTTCATGGACTACTGTGAATCCATGTCAAAGAATATGGAGTGGGCAGATAATGTGATTGTTGTTGCCATGGCGAGAATGTTGGAGCAAAATATTATCATAATAACCAGTTCTCCTGAGACAGATATAGACGACAGTTTATTATTTGTGGATGGTGGAGAGGGGTGTCATGAAAAACTTCCATTGTTAGTAGGACATTACTGGGAAACCCACTACCAGAGTCTTCAGCCAAAAGGTTTTTGTACTTTAAGAAATGTTATTATAATTCATAAAAATGTTATATAATACCACATGCTCTGAAGAAGGCCGCAAATAGTTTTACCATGCTACTTGTTTATGTCCCTCATCAGGAACTATGACTGTGGTTGGCTTAAAGGGGTACCAACACTAAAATAGACTACAATAGATTTGGATTGTTTAATTTTCATAAAATATTGACAAAATATTTACTTTGACCTGTTGACAAAATATAAAAATTTCAAGAAATTTGAATCCCATAATTTAGAGGAATAATTTCATTGCATACGTAACTGTTTGACAAACACTAATTTTGATCATTGAGATGCTTTATTTCTCTTTACTGATAGTATGTGGTTAAAACCTTCAGCTGATTTTAAAGAGCAAACCCCATTAGGTGTTCTGTAACCCCGTTTAAGTAAGATCTTAAATTCTTTAAGCATTAACAGAACCTGATGTCGATGGCAGAAATTCTGAACCAATTTCATCGAATCTTGGGGTGATTGGGCTATAGGGTATTTTGTAGTTAATCTTTGCATTGAAAATTTTGTTGCATTTTTATCAGCATCAACAAATCGTACTTTAGTTCTGAGATTTTTTTTCAGTGTCCAATTTAATTTTACACACAAATGTCATGACATAGCATCAGAAATTTATGCAGTGTATGGCTCAATGCAAGGTGGCCTGCATGAAAACATCAACTTATTGGTGATGTCACCTAACAGAAGTTTTAAAGTGATCATGATTTTGCAGCAATGTTTGAAATTGAATTATATTTGGGTAAAGATTGCATGAAATGCAATCAAAACTCTATGGTACTGACTTGATATTTATATCTTCTAAGGTTTATCACTATCTTTGATAGTTCAAACAAAATAGTGCAGTGGAGTGATCACTATCAAGTCAATGTCATGCAACTTATTGGTGATATGTTATACTTTTATAGTTAAGTTACAATATGTTTTGAATTACTATGCTTTTCACAAAAAAAATAAGTTAGAAGATGTTATCTTTCAGTGTCAGGTGAAAGCTTATCTGACACTTTTTTTTTATTATTTATGTTGGTCAGCGATGTCATTCGAAATAAAATTTTACTAAAACATATACGATTGGCAATATTGTTTTAAAAAGGCATGGAACAGCAATTTTTAGTGCAAACTAACTATTTTGTGAATTAAAATCTTTTTAAGTATATTGTAACGTTTGTGGGTCACTTTATTTGGTTCATTTATTTATTTCATTATTAGTATTTTTAATTATTTTCCCAGAAAGATTGATTATTATTATTTTATTACTTTCCGATTTTTTACATTCATTAAATTTTAGTGACGTAACAAACCTCGCATTAGCATTTTTTTTTAGGTAAGCAGTTCCCCCTCCTATTTATGTATATATTTTTGATTGACTAAAACTGGCTAGTTTTGGGTCAGGGTTTGCATTGAATATTTAAGCGGAAACTTAGAATATTTACGTATTGAGGCGTAGTTTATTTAGAAAGCGGTTCGCTGGTTAAATGTGTTAACTTATGAGTTGAGTTTTGGAATAGTTCTTTGAACTGAATAAAAGTTGTCAGTTTGTGAATAACGAGATTCGATTAACTGTTCAGCTTGTCAGTTGTTTAGGTTAAAGTTATTTATAGATTGCTGGTTAAAGAAGTTAAAGTTCAGGGTCATTATTTGTTGACATTTACGTACGACTGTCTCAAATCTATGACTTGAACTTATTAAAGACGGTAAATTTAAGTATTAACGCGTTAACAAGTGAGTTTTAAATGCAAACCCTGAGCAGAACAGCAGAGTAAGTCGTTAGAGAAAATTACAGATGCAAAAAACATTTAATTTCGTGGTCTAAGAAACTACAAAATGTATTATAGAGACTGCTGAATAAGATCATTGACTCACAAAATCATACTTGTACTGAATTAAATGTGCAGCTGATTCATATTTGTGTTGTTTAATAAAAGTTTACTGAAATATTTTATTACAGAGAAACGCCTTGTCCCTTGCCTTAAAATTAATCCTGGTTACTTCCCTTTGTACTGGTAACAACCTAGATCTCGACCCCTTTCCGATGAGCCTGCGTTTCAGTGTTCCTGATTACAGACCGTTTGTGTGAAAGCATATTCAGTCCTATTTTGTTTTAACTTCCCTTCAGGTGTTTACTTTCTGTGCTTGAAACGACCACTATTGTTAGGTCGGGCTAGTTACTGTTGGTCCGTCGATCTGTCCCACCTTTATTCATTGTTTAACCTCGGGCTTATTTACATGATTTAGTTTTACTCTGGCACATACTATAGTGATAGTGTGGGATTGTACTTCATATTTGAGTGGAAATATACTGAGAGATTCAAATAGAGGTGCAGTTTATTTCTGAACTACTACCAGAACTATTGAGTTTGGGATTGTGATTTGTCTTGTAAATTGGTCCCGCCAGATCCTTATATATCTTGTAACCATCCAGATTGTTATTCCTGTTGGTCAATAAAGTCCAATACTATGATAGCATGACTGCGGTCAAGGTCAAAGATTAGGGCCTGGTTGGCCATAAGAGCAGTCTAGATCCTCTTTATCCACCGTTGGAGAAAGATTCTAGAAGATACTCGTGACTGAATCTCGAAGGGTAATGAACCTCAGACACATATAGTTCCAGAACACACAGGTTTAAATCATTTATAAACTGTTGGCATAGACCGGTAAAAATAATACCTAATAAAACTTTAAAATATTCTAGCAATATTCTATAATAGAAGTCCTAGAGCGAAAGCATAGGCCGAACCCTACCCTAGATTTAGACTAAAGGAAAAGTTGGGTTGCTGTCTAGTAGATACAAAGTCCTGTTAAGGTCACATAGACAGTACCCCGGCTTCGTTTCAATATAATTAGGACTATGCAATATATAAAAATCCAATAAGTTTTGACAATTTTCCTATTTTTACCCCGTGAGTGAAACATATCTAGGAGAAAGAAGCCCAACCGAAACAATCAAGGTCCACCATCAAAAGTAAAGTTTTCAGATAACGAAAAATATTCAGATAAGAAATTTTCAACTTCTGACAAGGATCCTAACATGGGATATGGAAAACATTTTGTTAGCAAAAATAACAAAAATCCGCAGACTATAGCAACAAGAGAAGCTTGTATGTGAGAAGAATTAAAACGCCAATAACAACAATGAGAAGAATTTACAGTAAAACAATAGTTCTCCATTAAGAGACATAATGAGGAGCGGCAAGTTGGTTTTTTTTTTTGTGTGTGTTGAGGTGACAACATTTTTGTGCAGACCTTCATTAAAATCAAAGAAGAGCTCAGTAACAAATATTATTCCTCTTTTCCTTGTTGTTGCTTTCTTCTGGACCTTAACACAAATTTTAATCAGAATCATTTATGTGTAAAATATAGGTCGAGGCGACCAATTTTTTTCATTGTCCTTTGTTGTTATCAAAGATGTGCAATCTAAAAGATATCATTCTTCTATGACTTGTAGTTGATTAGATTTGTATCTTAATGCAAAACTTAACCGGAATTAAATTAGGTCGAGATGACCCATTTATTTCATGGACATTAGTTACTATCCAAGATGTGCGCACTAATAGTAAATCATTTTTCGTTGACTCACAGTTTGTTTCGATCTTGACCTAAATGCAAAACTTAACCATGACAGACTGACGAACAAACATATTTAACGCTTTAACCACTCCCAAACTCCGTCTTCCAAAGGGATGATAAAGAGATGATAACTTTAAATAAAAATGTTAAACTGGGTCTGGAAAAGGGTAAATTTTCCTTATGAAAGTTTATATTTTAATATAAGGCTGCTGCTCATATTTAGAAGACAAACTGCTTTACTTGCTTAAAAGCTTGTACTAGAAAAGTTGGATACAATTGATGTAAAGTTATGTTAAACACCTACAATGAAATGCTTTAAACTGCATTTTTGATATCTGTTAGATACTTAATCATGTAAAAATGTATAATTCTGAAAATCAAAGCCAAATAATGGCTCTATTATGACACATATAAGCAAGCGAGATATGGGACTTAGGTCTTATAGACAGCTGACTATTTTATTCAAATGTTTTTTTTTTGGCTTTTTAAACTGAATATTGACTATAAAGTGGCACCTAGCTATAGTTCTTCAGTAGGAAATGAACTCGAGGCATATAGTATACAAATTGTCCTTTGATATTGCATTACTATTTATCATTATTTTACTTACATTATGCCATGCATATTTCTACAGACGAGCAGAACTTCGGAATGAACTTCTCCTAAATTTATAAAATTGCGTCCAATTTGCATACAATAGCAGGCGTTATTTTTTCTCTGATAAAGTTTTCAATCAAATTGCCTAAATAACACGACTTCATTGACTGTTTCATTTTGTTTGCGGGGTATTATCAATAATGACTGGATTCAGCAAGTTCCGTTAAAAAATTCAGGAAGTTTACCGAATCTGAACCACCACCATCACATACATCAATCATCATCATCACCATCACTGATCATCACCTTCATCAACAAAACACGTTTAATGTAGTGACCACTGCATATAATTCTATCACGACTGCATATAATGTAGTGACCACTGCATATAATTCTATCACGACTGCATATAATGTAGTGACCACTGCATATAATTCTATCACGACTGCATATAATGTTGTGACCACTGCATATAATGTTTCAACAACTGCACATAATTCTATCACAACTGCATATAATGTTGTGACCACTGCATATAATGTTGTAACCACTGCATATAATGGCGTGACCACTGCATATAATGCTGTCACGGCTGCATATAATGCCATGACCCCTGCATATAATGATGTTCATCAACATAAGGCAGTCATGGTGTTCCATATAGACGTATAATCACTGTTGATCTACACTGCTTCAAATTATTCTGTAAATTATTTCTCAGAGATGAATGATTAAGGATAAAAAAAAAATGTATTTTTTGCTTAGAAAAGACAAAAAAACAAAATATGTCAGAAAAAATGCAAGCAGGGTCTGTTAGTGTTACAATCATCGGATATAAGTCAATAATTTATGTTAATTTCAGTTACAATTATCATATTTTAGCTTGAAACAATAAACAAAAGTGAACAACTCTAACCTGGGGATTTTCTGCAATCAAATTTTTTTGTTTATTCCCCATTACATTGCTATTTTACAGTGTAAGGTATTGTACATGTATATTTGAATAAAGGAAATTATTTTTTCTCATTGAATAAATAACCAATTTAAAACAAAATTTGTTATTTGATTTTTTGTTGTTGAAAAAGTGCATTTTCAATACCTCTTTTCTGAAATTATTAAGTCAAACTTCAATAAAAAAAAATATACTACACCTTTCTTTGGAGATTTCTATTAGAAATCAGTGCCCCTTCTAAAAATTGAAATATCAAAAGAATTTGTATCAAAGTTGAGAAATTCTCCATCTTTGTATACAATTGCATGCCTATGTTTGAAAATAGAAATATTCTCAAAAGCAATCATTTACAAGTAAATTTAGGGAGACAAGCTTGTTTTATCAACTGAAAAAAAACAATTATCTTTCTGAATTTAATGCAAGAGTAATACATCAAGTTTTTATTTTGTTTACCACAATACATGAGAATATGCACACAACTCTTCCAGTCTTTCCATCAATGATTTTGATCATTTTGATTGTCAGAAGTACCATAGAAGAAGTACATTTTAATGAGAATTTCATGAACTGAAAGGGGTGATTTTAAAAAAGAAAAATAACACTGGTTATTTATTAGTGAAATAATAATGAAAATGATAATGTTCTACTGTACATTCAATCCATGTGTGGTCTGGTTTTTTTTTTAAACATATGATATTATGATATTTGATTGTCCCTTGGTTTCTTCTCTTTTTAAACACAAATAAACATTTTGAGCCAAGATCACTTGTCCAAAGTTATAATGGTTGTCTCTAAATGTCTTACAAGAGCTTGTATAAATTAAAAAAAAAATAGAAATGAGATCAGAAAATGTTGGTCTACCGGCCGTAGCTTAACAAATGGCTGAATCACATCTCCGATGATGCTTTGATTTTTTCAAGTAGATATGAGATAGGAGGGATGACCTTTGATTGTTCTCTGAACAATTTGTTTGTATGCACCAGCTGTAGGCAATGGGGTTCATTAAGTGTTACCCTTGACGGTCTTTTCGTCTGATGTCAGTCAAATTTTCGTTTCCCCACTCTTACTTAAGTTTTTCTCATCTAAATTTTATGAAACTCATACACAATTGTAAGAACCAAAATTCTCAGACAGAGTTTGAATATGGGCAGTGAGTCACTTAACGTTCTAGAGTTATGCCCCTTTATAACTTGGAAAATTGCAAATATTTTCGTTTCCGCACTCTAACTGAAGTTTTTCTCATCCAAACCTTATGAAACTCATACGCAATGCTAAGAACCACAACAGGTAGACAGAGTTTAAATTTGGTTTTTGAGTCATTAACCATTCTTGAGTTATGCCCCTTTTTAACTTGGAAAATTGCAAAGCTTGAGCTGGGGCATTTGTGTCCTCAGACACATTCTTCTTTTATTAATTCTGAATAGCTTTCATTATTGCTGTTGTGAATATTGTAAGGTATTGTTTACAGAAAGAAATGTTTTATTTTTATGTATATTTTCTTATTCATGTTTTCATTCTTTTGCTTCTAATTTTGTGGTCACTGTCTCATTAATGGTAATCCTACATGACTTTTTTATTCATATTTTTTATATATTGCTTATTGTTTATTTTAGGAGCCAACAAAAGCTAAGAGGATTATCATGGATTGAAAATAATAGAGGATCATTTAAAGAGAGAATACCAATGATTGAATATATACAACTTTTAATATGTTATAAAAACTCCAATATAATAGCTTGCCTTTTTAAAAGATGATTGTTGTATGTTTTTCAGAAATGACATTATGTCATATTGTGTTTAACCTTTTCCTCTATGCTACATGAAAATTTTTTTATAAATGAATTTTTTTATCATGTCAGATATTCCCAAGTATATACTTTTTATATTGGATACAAATTTGATAAAGTCTGATATAGATTTTTGAAGGCAATGTACTTCAATTGAGATACCACATAGATGCTTCAAAAGGTGTCATTATGGAGTACAGGGGAGGCATCATTTTTTTTTACATAGCCTCCCCCATTTCTATTGAGGTGTCAGACCACCAATTCACCCACTCCAATTTAGAAACGTATGTAAAAGTAGCCCTTCCTTGACAAAAAATAGTGCTTTTGATGTCATTGTTTACCTAAACTAACCAGCAAATTTGTAGAAATGAAACTTTTGTTGAAAGAGAAATATATGTAGACCATTTTGAGCCAAAATTTACTTGTCCATGAGTTTGCATTAAAGATTGAGGATTAATGCGCTCCATAGTATACTTATTTAAGATTTCCAGAAAACCAGGGGTTATTTTTAGCAGTACTTATCTTCCTAGCGTTAGTATATCCTTAGAAGACTTTAAACATAGGTTGAAAATTAGCGTGTAGAAAGATGATACATGTACAATTCAGGATATACCTGGTTTCTATGAAGTTAAATTTAAGGTAAAATATTTAGAAAGCTGTGAAATTTGCTTAATTTGGTTGAATAAATAGGGATTTTGAATTGGTGGTCTGACACCTTGAAGTTATCATGACCAAATTTGGACCATCGATAGACCTCATCATCAAGTTTTATCAGATGACCCTTTATAAAAGTTATCTCCCATTAAATATAGTTTTTTTTTCGACATGCATTAATATGCTGTTTAGTGGTGCTTACATTTTAGAGTTATATCACCTTGAAACAATTTCTTTTATTTCCATATATCTTAAAAATTGTTACAGGGTAGAATCGATTTAAAATGGCAGTATGTATAGGAGCAGATGGCAATGTTTGTAAACAAACTACTCTTTTGTTATCAACCCTATTAAGAGTTATTTCCCTTGAAATATTATTTCCAAAACTGGTAGTCGTAGAGACATTAGACCTTCATCAATTATCTTCAGATCATGTGACCTTTCATTTATACACAAGGTAAAAGGTCATAAGAGTGCAAAAAGTTTTTGCACTTAAATGTCAAGCTTGAATATTAAGAAAACTACAAGAGATAGCTGCATACACACATGTTCCTCTCGGAGATGTTTACATTTTATACATTAGACCTGAAACTGTCAGACCATCTGTTCAAAAGTTAGGAGATAAGTATAATTTTTTGTTTGTATATCTTTAAAATGATAACAGATATTAACCTGCTGTATAACTGCAAAAATGATCAGAATTTTAGGCCTTCAATTTGAGGTCAAGGTCATGATGAAATATCACCTTGACCTTCAAAGGGTACTATATCCTTGACCTCATGACCTTTTTGTTCTTTATCTGCAGATCATCTTACACTTTGCAGACTTGAGATATCTTTTGTTGTTTAAGAGATATTGCTGTTTGAAATTTGTGAGGGAGGCATATATTTCTTAATCAACAACAGCTAGGCACCTGAAATTTTCAGAAATTGAAGAGTTTATCATGGTAATATGGTTGACTAAATACCAAAAACATTTTATAAAAAAACAAAGAAAAATAAGCAGTTTGAAATTTTCAGGTTTTACGTTGACTTTGTAAGTTTCATCATATCTATGTTCTTTTTATAAAATTGCATCATTTTGTGGACTTTGCAAAATGGGGTCATGTGACATGAAATTGAACATCCAAATGAGCTCTATTCAAAAATGAAAATTTTAAACCCCCTTTTACATCCGAAAGAGAAGGATGGGGTAATTATGTGCAAATATTAAAACTTCGAAGATGGTAAAGTTGTTGAATATCAAATATAAGTCCTTAAATTGTACATTTCAAATACCTAATTCATGACACCCAAAATGGGGTGGGGTGGGGTCATGGAGTGCAAAAAAATAGTGTCTTCATTGTAAGGTTGTAGCATATAACATGAAAGGTCATAATGTGTTCATTTCAAATATCAAATTCCTTTCCCCTAAATGAGATGTATGGGTAGTTTAGTGCGAAAAATCAAACTTCCTAGAAAATGAAAGAACATCAAGTCTCCATTACATATATCATACTTCCGTTCTCGAAAATAGAGATGGATGGGGTCATTAAGTGCTTGTTGCATATCAATTTAAAGGTCATAAAGAGTGCATTACAAATATCAGACTTTTAAGGGAAAGACCTTTCAATTTTTGTAGATAACAAGTTGATACTTTTTTTTATTGAAGTTAAATTCTACTTCTAAATTGAATATATGTTTTTTTATTATTATTGTACACATTGAAAGGTTTATCAATTGGGACACAACATTAGCTTTAAAATTGTAAATAACCTAATCTATTGTGTACATGTATTACAAATCTAAGAAGCTATGCTTGAATAAATACTGTTTGACAGATGATTCTTATTGACCTAGTATTATCAAGTTTTCATAGTTGATGGACAAAATTTGCAGGGACCATGTTGTATGTGCAATATACATTATTTACACTGATTTTCATTCACATTATTCAAACATTACATGTACATTCATATATTAAAACAAAATGATGCAATGGAAATTTGTTTTTGAATATTGAAATGAATTAAAATGGAAAGGCTATTTATATATATATATGCAACCTTCAACAGAACAAAGTGACCAAAAATAAGCCTCAGTAGGTGTTGCTTCTAGTCCATGAGATAAATTCTATATTGACAGAATTAAAATATCATTATGTAGTTTTTTTACACTAATCATTTGAGTAGCATCAATCTTTACATTCAATCACTGTGTATATTTTTGTCCTATTATTATACAATTCAGATAAATTGTAGTACCAAGTTGTAATTAGAATTCATCTATTCATACTGATCAACACATGAAAAAATTTAGCCGTTCATAATGAAAAGGTGCAGTGTAATAAAAAATATTCTTTCTATTGAATTTAAGTGATTGCCATGTGCTTCAGGTTAAAGTTTTTGGTCAAGGTAGTTTTTGATGAAGTTGAAGTCCAATCAACTTGAAACTTAGTACACATGTTCCCCTGATATGATCTTTCTAATTTAAATGCCAAATTGGAGTTTTGTGTGTTAGACGAGTAAAAAATTTGTAAAAATATTTATTGAAAACATAAAGTTTGAGGCAATTAATAATATTAGTGTTTATCCTACAATCGACCTCTCTACTACACTAATACAGGTGTACAGATAACACGATGCGATATACGTATACTAGACGGATAAAGTCTCCTGGTATCCTGCTTCTGTTGCGAGCGAACGGTTATGTCAAATTAATGTTTACGTTACAGGTCAACGGGGTCCTCATCGCGGTCCGCGTTTAAGTCATGTCGATTTCTTTCAAAAACAAATTCAACGATTGGGATGGAAAAAAATGTACAAAATTCATTGCAGGATAAAGACAATAACTGTATAGTGTCTTTAAATATCAGCTGTATTTGTACTCGGCTCGAAACAAGAGTAATAGCTCGCTGAAGCTCGCATTACATGTGTTTCTTAGCCTCGTAAAATACAGCTGATATTTAAAGACACTATACAGTTATTGTCTATGTAACAGAAAGTAATGTTGAACATTGTAAAATTATCTCCCTTGGAAATCAGTTCATCCGTTATTACGATAGAAAAAAAATATTCAAATATAAATGACACAATAATTCCTTGTTTGAAAACAAAGCAATAATGTATTGTACAATAAAATGAAGTTAAGACCTAGTTTTATATCCAGACCAAACTTGTTATATAAAGCTTTGGTTCCTGATAAGAAGGTGTTTACACTGCACTTGCTTCATACTAATAACCTTTTACTATCAATGAGCTTAAATATTTTACCAATTGATCAGTTTAAAGAGATTAAACTGCAACTTGGTAAATAATTTTACCCTATTGTTATTGTGAAAGGACAAAGTCATTAATTGATGAAGAAACAGGCAGCTAAAAATGTGTTTCATAATATAAGTTTGACTTTTATGAAAATTTTTATTTAATTTGAACCCTGTTGAAACTATTTTACTGTATTTGCTTTCAATTATATATTAAATAGCAGCATTGAGTGTGAATGACAAAACATGGCAAACATATTTGAAATTTGAAAGAAAATCTTTAATTACCCATAATACCAGAAAGACCATGATCCCTCTACTAATTGTTTTGTTGATTAGGAGTATAAAATCACATTTACATATTTATGTTTGAATTTAGACTGATACAGTACTCAAATTGTACAAATTCTCTGTAGCTATTTACTATTATTGTAATCATTCTTAAATATATTTGATAGTTATCTGAAATATCGAATTTAATTTTATATTTTTGTAACTTTTTTATAAGAATGTAATATATGTTTTTAGAATTTATATAAGTAGATTTATAGCACTGCTTATTTTTTTGTATTTATTTAATTTAGATTTTTAACACTACTTATCTATAAAAAAATGAATTCATACACTGTTTTTATTTTGTATAAGAATAACAAGATCTCGTATGATTGCCAATAAGACAGTTATTCACCAGAGACCAAATGATGTAGATGTAAGCAACTATTGGTCATCGTACTGCCTTCAAGAATGAGCAAAACCAATTCCACATAGCAATCCTTTTATTATCTGAGTGTCTTTTTAGCTCACCAGGCCCGAAGGGCCCCATGTGAGCTTATGACATCACTTGGCATCCATCGTCGTTGTCGTCGTAAACTATTTCAAGAATCTTCTCCTCTGAAACTACTGGGCCAAATACCTTCAAACTTTAACTGAATGTTCCTTAGGGTATCTAGTTTATAAATTGTATCCGAAGTTTTGATCCATCAATAAACATGGCCTCCATTGCTAAAAATAGAACATAGGGGTCAAATGCAGTTTTTGGCTTATATCTGAAAAACTAAAGCATTTAGAGCAAATCTGACAGGGGTAAAATTGTTTTATAGGTCAATATCTATTAGCCGTGAAATTTTCAGACGAACCAAACAACCCATTTTTGAGTTGCTGCCACTTAGTTGGTAATTTTAAGGAAATTTTGCAGTTTTTGGTTATTATCTTGAATATTATTGAAGATAAAGATAAACTGTAAACAGCAAAAATATTCAGCAAAGTAAGATCTACAAAAAAGTTTAATGACCCAAATTGTCAATTGACCCCACAAGGAGTTATTGCCCTTTAAAGACAATTTTACACAATTTGTTCTTCATGTTTGCCAACATTTAAAAATCTCTGAAACTACTAGGCCAAATACCTTCAACCTTTAACTGAATGTTCCTTAGGGTATCTAGTTTATAAACTGTATCCAAATTTTGATCCATCAACAAACATTGCCACCATGGCTAAAAATAGAACATAGGGGTCAAATGCAGTTTTTATACGACCGCAAAAAAATTTTTGTGGTCGTATATTGGTATGACGTTGGCGTCGTCGTCGTCGTCGTCGTCCGGCGTCGTCCGAAGACACATTGGTTTTCGCACTCTAACTTTAGTTTAAGTAAATGGATCTTTATGAAATTTTACCACAAGGTTCAATACCACAAAAGGAAGGTTGGGATTGATTTTGGGGGTTATGGTAATAACAGTAAAGGAATTAGGGGCCAAAAAGGGGCCAAAAATAAGCATTTTTGTAACTTCCAGACATAACTTGTGTGTTAGTGTATGGATCTCTCTGACATTGTACCACAAGGTTCCATATCACTAAAGGAATGCTGGGATTGATTTTGGGGGTAATTGCCTCCAAATTTTAGGAATTAGGGGCCAAAAAAGGGGCAAAAAACAAGAATTTTTCTAGTTTCATGACAATAACTTGTGTGTAAGTGTATGGATCTTTCTGAAATTGTACTACAAGGTTCCATATCACAAAGGGAAAGCTGGGTTTTGAGTTTGGGGGTAATTGCCCTAAACTTTTAGGAATTTGGGGCCAAAAAGGGGCCAAAAAACACATTTTTTTCTAGTTTCCTGACAATAACTTGTGTTCAAGTGTATGGATCTCTCTGAAATTGTACTGCAAGGTACCATGCCACAAAGGGAAGGCTGGGATTGAGTTTGGGGGTGATGAATCATAATAGGGGTTCAAAAAATTTTGGGGGGGGGGATTTATTTTTTTTTCATTTTTTTTCTTTTTTTCCTTTTTTGTTTCTTTTAAAATTTTCCATTTTAAGTTGGTTATTTCTGATTTATATTTAAAATCAAATAATAATGATATGGTAGGAGATACACACCAAACAGGATGTGTAAATTATTATATAATAAGTATTGTGCAATAGCAAGAAATTTTCAATTGCACAGTATTGCACAATAGCAAGAAATCTTCAATTGCACAGTATTGCGCAATAGCAAGAAATCTTCAATTGCACAGTATTGCGCAATAGCAAGAAATATCCAATAGCACAATATTGCGCAATAGCAAGAAATTGTCAATTGTACAGTATTGCGCAATAGCAAGAAATATTTAATAGCACAGGATTGTGCAAAAGAAGATACTTCCTATAAATTGCTTATTTCTTGACCAATTTCAATGGGGTTTTATTCTTGATTTCATGGGGTTCTTTAATAGGCTGAATCTAACCGTGTATTTAGTTTTTGGATTTTGGGCCCCGTTTTTAAATTGGTCCACATTGAGGTCCAAAGGGTCCAAAATTAAACTTTGTTTGATTTCATCAAAAATTGAATTATTGGGGTTCTTTGATATGCCGAATCTAACTGTGTATTTAGATTCTTAAATTTTGGTTCCGTTTTCAAATTGGTCTACATTAAGGTCCAAAGGGTCCAAAATTAAACTTAGTTTGATTTTAACAAAAATTGAATTCTTAGGGTTCTTTGATATGCTGAATCTAAACATGTATTTAGATTTTTGATTATGGGCCCAGTTTTCAAGTTGGTCCAAATCGGGGTCCAAAATTAAACTTTGTTTGATTTCAACAAAAATTGAATATATGGGGTTCTTTAATATGCTGATTCTAAACGTGTATTAAGTTTTTGGATTTTGGGCCCCGTTTTTAAATTGGTCCACATTGAGGTCCAAAGGGTCCAAAATTAAACTTTGTTTGATTTCATCAAATATTGAATTATTGGGGTTCTTTGATATGCCGAATCTAACGGTGTATTTAGATTCTTAATTTTTGGTTCCGTTTTCAAATTGGTCTACATTAAGGTCCAAAGGGTCCAAAATTAAACTTAGTTTGATTTTAACAAAAATTGAATTCTTAGGGTTCTTTGATATGCTGAATCTAAACATGTATTTAGATTTTTGATTATGGGCCCAGATTTCAAGTTGGTCCAAATCGGGGTCCAAAATTAAACTTTGTTTGATTTCAACAAAAATTGAATATATGGGGTTCTTTGATATGCTGAATCTAACCATGTATTTAGATTTCTGATTTTTGGGCCCCATTATCAACTTTGTCCACATTGAGGTCAAAAGGGTCCAAAATTAAACTTTGTTTGATTTCATCAAAAATTGAATTCTTGGGGTTCTTTGATATGCTGAATCTAACCATGTATTTAGATTTTGGATATTGGACCATAATAGGTGAATGTCCAATTTAAAATTTTTAAGTTCTTAGACCACATTCATTCTGTCTCAGAAACCTATGCTGTGTCAAATATTTAATCACAATCCAAATCCAAAGCTGTATCAAGCTTGAATGTTGTGTCCATACTTGCCCTAACTGTTCAGGGTTCGACCTCTGCGGTCGTATCAAGCTGCGCCCTGCGGAGCATTTTATTGGTTTATATCTCAAAAACTAAAGCATTTAGAGCAAATATGATGGGGAGGGGGGGGGGGGGGGGGAGGGGTGAAAATGTTCAGTAGGTCAACATCTATCAGCCCAGAAATTTTCAGACGTACCGAACAACCCATTGTTGGGTTGCTGCCACTTAATTGGTAATTTTAAGGAAATTTTGCAGTTTTTATACGCCAAATGTCCGGCGTCCGTCTATCCGTTGTAAACATGTCGCTCCGTAACTTGAGAACAACTTATCCATATTTCATGAAACTATACATAGTTGTTCCTTATGATGGTCAAACGATCTGTATACTTTTTGGTGAAAATAAGATTAAAACTGTTTGAGTTACGGGACTTTGTAACTAAAACAGGGGTGTGTTTTTTTCACATGTCGCGCCGTATCTCAAAAACAATTTATGATTATTGCTTAAAACTTTACACACTTCTTAGTTATATTAATCTAAAGATCTGTATTCTTTTTGGTGATGATTCAAAAGTTTATTTTAGAGTTATTGAGTTTTTTGTAAAAAAAAGGGGGGGGGGGGTTTCACATGTGGCGCCGTATCTCCTAACGATTTATGATTATTGCTTAAAACTTTACACACTTCTCAGTTATAATAATCTAAAGATCTGTATACTTTTTGGTGATGATTAAAATTTTTATTTTAGAGTTATTGAGTTTTTTATATAAAAAAAAAAGGGGGTTTTTTTCACATGTCACGCCGTATCTCAGAAACTATTTATGATTATTGCATAAAACTTCACACACAAGACGATGGGCGTATCATGCGCACGTGGCGCAGCTGTTTATTAGTTATTATCTTGAATATTATTGAAGATAAAGATAAACTGTAAACAGCAAAAATGTTCAGCAAAGTAAGATCTACAAAAAAGTTTTATGCCAAAAATTGTCAATTGACCCCTTAAGGAGTTATTGCCCTTTAAAGAAAATTTTACACAATTTGTTCATCATATTTGCTAACATTTAAAATCTTCTCTGAAACTACTGGGCCTAATACTTCTAAACTTTAACTGAATGTTCCTTAGGGTAACTGGTTTATAAAGTGTATCCGAAGTTTTGATCCATTAACAAACATGGCCACCATGGCTAAAATAGAACATAGGAGTCAAATGCAGTTTTTGGCTTTTATCTCAAAAACTATAGCAGTTAGAGCAAAAGTGACAAGAGTTAAAGTGATGAATAAGTCAAAATCTATCTGCTATGAAATTTTCAGACCAATTGGACCACAGTTTGTAAGGTCACTGTCCGAAATAGTTTATTTTTATGAAATTTTACTGTTTTTGGTTATTATCTTTAATATTATAATAGATAGAGAGAAAGTGTAAATGGCAAAAATGTTCAGCTTAGTAGGATCTACAAATAAGTCAAATGATCAAAATAGTCAATTTTTGTTAAGGAGTCATTGCCCTTGAAATGTTTATTTTTTGCATTTGTTCGTGCAAGTCTATTACTTTTTCAAAAATCTTCTTTTCTGAAACTACTGGGCCAAATACTTCCAAACTTTAACTGAATGTTCCTTAGGGTATCTAGTTTGTAAATTGTATGCGAAGTTTTGATCCATCAACAAACATGGCTGCCAAAAGCAATTTTTGCCTTATATCTCAAAAACTACAGCAGTTAGAGCAAAAGTAAAAGGAGTTAAAGTGATAAATGGGTCATGATCTATCTGTTATGAAATTTTCAGACAAGTTCGACAATCCATTGTTGGGTAACTGTTGGAA